CCGCCGTCGATAAATACAACTTTACCCTAAACGACGACAAATGCTCGTTTGGACTGGACAAAATAAACCTACTGGGGTATACCATAAGCAAAGGTTTTATGGCACCGGACGCAGATCGATTGAAACCTTTACTCCAGATGCCTGTCCCTCACAACCAGCCTTCCCTTCGACGTGCTATGGGCATGTTTGCTCATTACTCTCAATGGATTGCTTCGTTCTCAGAAAAGATACATCCATTGACACAAGTAGAGACGTTTCCTCTGTCCCATCAAGCCGTTGAGGCATTCGAGGGACTGAAAAGGATATTGCGAAATCTGCAATTACAATAATAGACCAAAATATTCCTCTGGTTGTTGAAACGGATGCGTCAGACTGTGCTATTGCTGCTTCTTTGAAACAAGCTGATCGTCCTGTAGCCATTTTTTCAAGGACCCTCTCACAGGCTGAATGACGACACCCCGCAATTGAAAAGGAAGCCTACGCCATAGTCGAGGCATTAAGACCAAAATATTCCTCTGGTTGTTGAAACGGATGCGTCAGACTGTGCTATTGCTGCTTCTTTGAAACAAGCTGATCGTCCTGTAGCCATTTTTTCAAGGACCCTCTCACAGGCTGAACGACGACACCCCGCAATTGAAAAGGAAGCCTATGCCATAGTCGAGGCATTAAGAAAATGGCGACACTACCTGATCGGACGCCACTTTAAACTTATTACTGACTAGAAATCATTTGCTTTTATGTTCAACTCTAAAACTACGAGTAAAATAAAGAATAAGAAAATAGCGAGGTGGAGAATTGAGCTACCTTGTTTCTCCTTTGACGTCAGCTACCGACCTGGCAAGGAGAATTTAACAGCTGATACACTGTCAAGAACATGCTGTACGGCATCAAGCGGGGACGAACTCCGAATGCTACATAACAATCTCTGTCACCCGGGCATTACTCGAATGGTTCATGCTGTGAGGTGTAGAAACTTGCTTTTCTTAGTGGAGGAGGTAAAAAGAATTACAAATTCTTGTCGAACGTGTGCTGAAATAAAGCCTCGGTTTTATAAACCCCAAACTGGCGTTTTAATAAAAGCAACACAACCGTTTGAAAGACTCAATCTTGATTTTAAAGGACCGCTACCAAGTAAAACAAGGAACAGATATATATTAACGGTTATCGACGAATATTCACGGTTTCTTTTTGCCTTCCCTTGTTCAGACATATCGGCTACTGCAATTATACAATGCCTCTGCTCACTGTTCGCCATCTTTGGAGCCCCTGCCTATATACATTCGGACCGAGGGGCTTCTTTCATGTCAGAGCAGCTTCGCAATTTCTTCAGGAACGAGGAGTAGCTATAAGCGGACAACTCCCTACAACCCTAAGGGTAATGGCCAATGCGAAAGATATAACGGCATTATTTGGAAGACCGCTCAATTGGCTGCCTCAAATAACGGATGTTCAATTGATAATTGGGAAAATCTCCTTCCTGTCGCATTATACGCCATTCGTTCCCTATTGTGTACCGCCACGAATGCCACCCCACACGAAAAGGTTTCTACCTTTTCAGCGATTTGAGTTCGGCGAGAGCTTCGCTTCCATCTTGGCTCTCTCGACCCGGTACTGTGTTTCTGAGACAACATGCACGTTACACCAAGAACGATCCCTTGGTGGACGAGGTAGAGCTTATAGAGGCGAACCCTCAGTACGCGCTAGTACGACATGCAGATGGTAGAGAGTCTAATGTGTCTCTCAGGGACACTGAAGCCCCTCCGGAAGATCATGGCACTGAAATTGTTCCTGACACGCCGTCTGACGACACTGTCTCCGTTGAGGCCCCGTCAGACACTTCGGATGGGCCAACACCTGAAACCCTGACAGATGAAGGGCTAGCACCGAATAAACGTGTTCATCCAGAGACTGACTCTGATGCGGAACGGCCTGCTCCTCTGAGAAGGAAACATTTCGGAGCAAGGTATTTTAGAGCCCACAGACAGGCTCGCACTGAAGAGCCTCCCTGTTTGAGTACTCTGACCACGAATCATGGACTGCCGAGGCGGCCACTGCGAACTCATAGGGAACCTGGACATTTAAGGGACTTTCTTCCCTATCAGTGAGAAATTTGGTGGGGGAGAATGTTGTGAATATGGATTATCTCCTCTTAGATAATCCAAGCTATAAAAGCTGTATACTTTCGCTGTCAAGTCAGATGAGTAGTAGTATTCTTAATTGAATAAACGATTATTAGACAGAATCTCTTGTCCTGTTTTCATTACATCTATCTTACACATGTCTACCATTTGAACATGCATTGATTGAATATTTCTATCACATCTGGTCTGGTGTTTCTGATATGTATTTCAAGATCCTTGATAAAATCCAAAGAATATGCAATGTTATTGGTCCTGACCTGTTATCTTGGCTTCAATCACTTTTCCACTACCTTAACACAGCTTTTGTGTTCCTTTTCTATAAATATTTTCATAGTGTAGGGATAAACAAAAGGCGATTATCTCCCTTTGGTCGAGATGAAGTAACGTGGGAGACGTGACGGCTGCTTAGTGACACTGCTTCATAGAATGATGAAAGTGGTTAGTTCTTCAGTCAGTTTCCAGGAGTCAAACTGAGCAGTTGCCTCGGCCAGGCTTCTGCCTGAAGCAACCAGCTGCCTTGTGATGTGAGCTTACAAGCTCATAGCACTGTTTCTCTATGGAAATATATCTTCACTAGAAATTATCTTAAGCTCGCAATCCTCAATTTAGGAAAAAAAAATATGACTTGCTGTTTCCTTGTTTGAGGGGAATATGTCTTTGTTAGTGACATAGCAGATAAATCTGGCCCACTCAAAACTGAAATCCTAAATATGGCTTCTCCAGAAACACAGACAAATCTCTGGCAGATGCAATTCACAATTAGAATTATTACAAAATAAGATGCTATCTGTTCTTTTTACACTGCTGAATATACGTTATAGTTTTTCTGCATGGGACAAATGTAAATATTTATATATATAATTGTGTATATAACTTAGCATCATAAAACTCTAAGAATAAAGCATATTTGTCATTCTTTTCTTTCAGCTACTCCTTTCCATCTGTGAAATAAAGTGTTATTATATCATGGAGATATAATAAGGACCATAATGGAGGAAATACAAATGGGAGAATATTCACTTTCTTCCATAGTTCACCTGTTAATGGCAGCTGTTCTGGTGAGCTTTCTTCTTTGGTATCTAGAATTTATGAATTTAAACATACTACTACTAAGGTCTCATTATCTTACAGTTAAAATTGCAAGATGGAACCATAAGTTCTATGCTAACAGTTTTTTTTTTTGCCATACTTCTTGCTTGTGGAACTATCTTCTGGCTTGTTACTTTTCAGTCAATTTTGATTTTCAAAAATTTAAATGCAATGTCAACCATTATCTTCTGTTTTTATTAATTCCTGTTCTTCTATTGTTCTCTCTCCTTAATAATGCTTTCTTTTTTTTATTCTCTCATACTTTACTAACCCTTTGTATCTTAGTGGTTTTATTGCCTTGATTTAAAAAAAAAAAGAAATATTAAGTCTTTTTGTTTTTATATTACACAACACTATAATGTTTGATCATTTCAAAAAAACAAATACGGTTTTACACAAGTACTTTTTTTTTCAGAATCTTTTGTCTCATCACACTAAATGTAGAAAATTATGAGCCACCTGAATTTTGTTGAAATTGATAATGTTTATCTATGTTGGTTCAAGTTAATTAATCTATTCTTTTATTCTTAATTTATTTTATTGTCATCTTTTTGGGCTCAAGTTTTTAAAACAACATTCAAGTTTAAGTATTAAATTTACTTCATGCAGCAAGCGAGAATTATTTTAAACAGAAATATCTTACTTGAAAAGTTATATTATCTGTCAAATTATCCACAGTATCAGCTGGTATTTCTTTTTCTTCTCTGACTCTTTCTGCCTGTGTACTGGGCATATATAGCTGTTGAGTATTGCCTAGAGGAATGGCTATATATTCCTTAGGAGATTCTGGGCAGGAAAATTGTTGATAACTACAACAAATAAAATAAAACAAACTTTCTCAAACATTTTTTTTAAATGTGGTTCAGCGTAAAAGAAAGCTTGAATAACAGCCCAAAGCGTGCATAAATTTAAATTTTGAAAATGCTAAAAAAATCCTTAGTTTGGTAAGTAGATATTTACACACACTCCTATGAATGTGAGATATGACACTACTTTTAACATAAGCTATTACCTCCCACTACATTTGTATATGGGAATAGGGACAAAAATTACTTATCTCCCTTAATATTTTTACTCAGAATGCCTCAGGCATCAAGGATAAACCCAGAGCCACCCCTCTTTAAGCAATAGGGAATAGGCCCACTGAAGCTGTCAATATTTTTATGGTAATTGTTCTGATGAGCTTTCCTCCTTGGTACCTAGACTTTAAATTTAAACTTTGAATTTAAGTGTACTATTAGATTAGCAGCAAGATCTCATCATTTTAGTGTTGAAATTGTTAAATGTAACTGTAAGTTCTTTGCTGACAGTTTCTTCTCTTGCACTTCTTGCTTGTAGAATGCTTTTCTGGTTTCTTGCTTTTCAGTCAACTTTGGCTTCAAAAATTTAAATGCAATGTCAGTTGTTATCTTTTGCCATCTTAATTTCTGTTCTTTTATTGTTCCCTTTGTTGTTCTTTTATTGTTTTCTTTTTCTCTTATTTTTTCACACTCAGCAACTCCTTACATCATAGTTGCTTTATTGCCTTGCTTAGGGTAAAATGATTTAAAAAAAAAAGGTTCCATTATTCAAGTCATCATTACTTGATGATTAGATAAGAATTGGAGCTAGAGGAAAGGTTTTAGTGTGATGTGGTACATTTCAGTTTTAATCTTGAAATTAAATATTTAATACACATTATCAAATCTTCTTTTAACTCAACCAAAATTTGATAAAAAGCTTTGTATTCATATTTGCTATATGTTTGTACTTCTGTTAATCCATTAGGCTTATGGCCCTATCACATTGAAACACCAGTTCTCATATGATCACCAAAGGTAAGCAACATCAAGCCTAGTCAGTACCTAGATGGGTGACAGCTTGGAAATAACAGGTGCTGTAAGCTTGGATGTTCAGGTGGTGTAATGGATAGCAATTCAAAAACTGAAGATCAGAGAGCTGAATTCTAATTCCAGTCAAGTTCGTTATATTCCTATATGCACAAATACTCTTGGGAAAGGTATGAATCCACCTCTTCTCTTCCCAGAAATGGGTTAATTAGTAAGACTTGTATCACTAAATCATTATTATCTCCAAAAACATTTTAGATTATAAAAATATTTTCTAGCTTTAAATAACCTGCAAGCAGTCGATAAGCCATAAAAGAAAATCAATCAATTCATTTTACAAACTTTTTTAAGCTAACCAAAATTTGATCAGAATGATTTACTTGGCATTTTTCTCCCCAAGACATATAATAAGTTAGTTATAAGTGTTTTGTTGAATTGTTACAGCATAATCTAACCAAGTAACCCTGCAACTTATGACATTTGATAATTCAAATCCATAATCAAACTTAGCATTGGAACTATGGAATTTGTTAAGTAGATTTGGTCCTGTATCAGAAAAGGTAAATGATAAAAAGAGAAATTTCTAAAAGTCCATAATGAAATTATATGTGGAGACAACTCTTTGCATCTAACGGTTGTCTTCAGGTCTATTTTTTTTAGATTAGTATTAAGTTAATACTTATCAGTGATCATAATCTTATAACATTTACTTACTTTGTAATGTGCAACAATTTTTTCAATCAAACTAGGTTCCAATGTCAGCTTATTTCCATGGCAAGCTAATGAATGAGTCACACCAGATAAACACACCAGTTAACACAAATTAGGTTCTTCATTATTAGACAAAAATACTGCACAAATTTGCTAGACTATCAGTCTCTTTATTTAGAAATAATGTACAGATTTTGCTTACCGATATGGCTGAGTTTCTTGTAACTGGTGTAAGGTTGTGATAAATGGTGACGTGTTTTTAGAAATATAACTCCTTTGTGATGTGGCCATCTGCCAGCAATGTTTTCGTTCTTCAATATATGTTGCTGTGTGCACGGACTTTCTGTGTTCCCTCCATTTACTTTCTCTTTTGTTATAGACATCAGATATGCTGGCCATTGGAATATGTCTGCTTTCTGATAAAACAGGATGATGTCTTGGTGGGGATGCTAAAAGTTTCTGAGACGTGCTGGGATAGAGGTCCATACTTGGTAGAAATGAGGACTGGCACCTGTTTAGATTTCTTTTTGCTCTGTCCATACTATGACTATCCAGAACACTCCAAGAGGAAATTCCATTGGTTCTGTTTTGTATAGTTGTGTTAAATAGTAAGCTTTCTGACTTGGACTCCTGCGACTCCTTTGCAGGGAAATTAGGGATTGATGGAAACAGCTGAGACAACTTGGAGGATGAATATGAAACAAAAGTAATAATTAAGGTTTAAGAAAAGTAAAACAAACTCAAAGTTAGCATTTCAATGAAATCACATTTACTAATCTGTCAGGAAACATTTACTCAGTACAAATGATTATTACTATCTAATCAGTACAAATGATTATCACTATTTACTCAGTACAAATGATTGTTATTATTTACTAAGAACAAATGATTGTTACTCAATACAAATGATTATTATCATAATTTACATAACTTGAAAAATTCATTACCTGAAAAAAATGAATCGCCTCATAAACAACATTATCAAATAAACTTGCTTTGTGGTTAAGATAGTTGAATACTCAGCAATAATCCCAGAAATCAGTGTTTTAGCTGAGGCTCAAATCGGCAGGCATGCACTCTATATGAAAGGTTGGTACATCAAACTTCTACCCTAATTTCTCCCTATTTGCACATTTACTATACTAAATTTAGTAAATATTGTTATAAAATAAAATAAGACATATCTCGGCTGATTTACAGGCAAATACTCAAGAGCGAGAACTGGATGTGAACGGGACAAAGCCCTGTCACAAAATGACCATTATCTTTCTTCACAAATGTTTCCGACACACGTGTTCCGGTCGAAAAATAAAATAATATTTAAAGTGCTCTATTTTTCGTCCAATAAAAATGCTTCTCTCCTAATTATACTCGCTTCGTTTCTCGAGCCTGTTAAGCCATAAAAAAACGCTATAAAAGGGGTCACAGGGAAGTTCAACCGTCAGTCAACAGGTGGCCACAAAGGAGACTGGTCACATTCAGCAGCTGTCAGCAGGAGATCACCAACCACCGTCAACATGTGTGAACTACTATGAGAGATCGACCAGATCCGAAAACCAGCTTATGAACTTTACCACAAGGTAGCTGTCCCAAGCCCTCACGTTCCTGTTGAAATAAACCACGTAAATCTATTTCTGCTGTTGTCGTATTTCTTTCTTGCAACCATACGCTTGTCTATAACAATATCTTGTAATATATATATGCATTTATTTATCCATGGTCTGTAATAACTCTCAGGTCTACATTGTGGTAGAAGTATTTGCATTTTTCCTACTGAATTGAGAAGTAGTGTTCAAATACAAGTAACTGCCAAGATTTTAAATGTTTATTTTTTTTAGGCAAGCAAGCTTTTCCCAGTTTCTTTTGTATTTTCATAATGCATTATTCTTCTCCCCCTGGGTACTATGTTCCTTCAAGATGTGAGCAATTATGGCTCTCAGCAAATTCTCATCTTTTGTAAGTCTCCTTCCCTGTTCTGCCATCTATTTACACAAGCAAATTAGGTAGGGTAATCACTATTTCTCTCTTTCCTTTTTGCCTTTGATATATCTTGTAAGTGTCTAATTTGCCAAGCCTTCTTTCCTCATCATGTGTCCCAGAGATTTCAACTCCCTCTTTCTGATTCTAAGTATGTGACCTTTTTCTTTTCATTTTTCTTAAAACTTCAACTCTCCATTCATATTATCCACAGCATCCTTGTGTAGAACCATATTTTTGTTGCCTCAAGTTTTTCTCTTTATCTGTGAGGAAATTGTCCAGCATTCACTTCTATATAAGAGGATTGATACTATATAGCAGTTCAGCACTCCTTTCTTTCTTTTCAAGCAAATTTTCCTGTTTCTGGTTTGTATTATATGCTAGGTAAGTAGAGTATGAATTATGTCTTGATAGGGATTTTTTTTAATTACATTCAAGACTTAAAAATTTGGGATATTTTCTGTACAGACCTCATATGAATCATAGTAATAATTCATTCAGAAAATAGAAATAATTTTTTTAAGAGAGAGGAAAGAATATTGTATATAGAAGAAAGATATTTTATGTGTACTTACTACTACATCAGTGTGTCCTTTTTTGCAATGATTCTCACTTGATGTTTCTTTTCCATTTGAGCTTTTATTGGTGTCAGGGAGTTCTGAGCTTCTGTATAAGAAAGATACAAAATATTCAGCAAGAAGAAAATATTCTGGTTTGAACTGTTAAAAAAGGCACCAGTAGCTTAAATAACCACTCTTTACAACAGAGTTATACAGAAGAACATCTCTGAACACACAATCTTGAAGCAGACGGGCTACAGCAGCAGAAGACCATGCTGGGTGACATTTCTGCTAAATAAGATCAAGAAAATGTTTGTACAATTTGCTAAGGATCACTAAAATTGGACAATAGAAGATTGGAAAAATATTGCCTGGTCTGATGAGTCTTGGTAGAGCCAGAATTTGGTGTAAACAACATGAAAGTATTAATCCATCCTGTCTTGTATCAGTGATTCAGGCTGGGGGTATTGGTTTAATGGACTGAAGAATATTTTCTTGGTCTACATTGGGATTCTTGGTACTAATTAAAGATTTAAATGTCACAGCCTACCAAGTTATTGTGGCTGACCACTTGCCTCAATTCATGATTATGGTGATCATTTCCATCAGCACAAAGCATCATGTTACAAATCAAAATAGTAGCAGATCTGTTCATGGAATACAGCAATGTGTTTTCTGTCCTAAATTGTCCTTCCCAGTCACTGGATCTCAATCTCAATATCCCTTTCCATCACATCTCTGGGATGTGATAGAAAGGGATATTGGGATTCTGGATGTGTAGCTAACCAATCTCGAAGAATTGTGGGATGCCATTATAACAGCATGAACCCAAATTTTGAAAGAGTTCTTCCAGAACATTATTGAATCCAGGCCAAGAGTTGAGGTGATTCTGGAGGTAAAAGGGGAGGGGGGGGTTCAATCTAGTATTAGAAAAATATACTTAATGAAGTGACTGGTAAATGTAATTTTTGAATTATGTATTTGACTTAGCTAACAAAAATTAATTGATGTGTTGCAAAAATAATTATGTTTAAAAAGTGTTACCAATGCAAAAAGTTTGGAAAGCTCTTAACTAAGAGATGGATAACTGAAGTGTATAGCAATGAAGGAGTAAATGCAAGTGTTGGAAATGATTTATAAAATTCAACAAAGGATATTTTGAACATTAGAAGACTAAGGAACTGGAGGAAGATGCAACAGAAAAACAAACTTACAGAAGGGTGAATCAGTCAGCTCATTTGAAATAGACATTAGAAAAGAACTTCTTCGAGCAATGAAGTCAACTGGTGATTTTGTTGTCTCATATTGCAAATACAATGTAGTAAATTATCATATAGGTGGAATGGAAAGTTGTTCCACATACAGACCTGTAACCTTTAGATGGCCACTTCTTTTGTGTCATACAACACTCCTTAGAACTTCCAGAAATTTCAAGATATTGAAAAAGTTTTTGAAGAATTCATTGAATTATAACTGGAATCATTCTTTTATGATAGGGTACGCAATTTATTTGAAAGGTAGTACAAAATCTGGAGAAATACTTTGATGACTGAATAATGAGGCTATGGATTATATGAATAAAAGATGTCAAAAATGTTGGAATCCTGCATCAACTTAGTAAATATGAACATATGTGCCACAATTTATAGTATGATTTCTTTTTCTTCAATGTGAAATCAGACTATAATTAAAATGGGAGAAGTTTACCATTTTCTTTACTGTTTTCTTGTCATTCAACTTCATCTCTTTATACTACCAAGTATTCCTACTCCTTTTGTTTTTTTTTATCCTTGTCAGGGATAAAAC